TTTATCTTCGTACAAAAGTGTTTCACAATGCCAGTGTTTTCTTTTTCAGTTCAGGGTCTAGTTCCAGTTGCCTGTTTTGCTCAGCTGGCAATCCCCAACCTGGTTTAGGAGAGATTTGTTTTCTCCTCAGCAGCTGCCTCCAAGCTCAGGACTGAACTGTCAAGTTTGAATATCAACGATTTTGGGCAAACTTCATCTCCTTTTAAAGACCATGTGATTGGGTTGAAAACACCACAGGCAAGTAAGGGGACCTTGAGTGGAGAGACCTTGTCAAAAGATGGCGCTGCAAAAATGCATTTCCTCACATTTATTAAATATAATGCATTGAAGACAGGGTCCACATGTTTCTCTGAGGAGAGATGAGTATTTTATATAAATATTTATACTTCTTGTTGTCGACTGTGACCAGAATTTTCCACTGATAATATCGTTATTTATCTTGTTTTGCAGCACACTCTTACACAATGTTTCAGTATCTGACATGTCGACTGTGAGAATCAGGTCATTATAAATTAATTGGTCAAAAAGCACAAGCAGGAAAGCAAAGAAGGAAATTGGCTAAATGAACTTTACAAACACATCCTATTAATTTCACAAGTAACAGAGCTTTATTTACTCTGATGACTGATTACGATATTGTGTAGTAATAAATACTAGATGCCACAGTAATGAGACAGGTGGCCTATTCAGACCAGGATGCTGCTGTAGCTGTCTCCTCTCCAGGCTGTAGTGTTCATATCAGGCAGACAAGTAGCTACTTCTCTGGGTTTGGAGACACCCGGCACCCACCAGGGCCAACCACGATAATGCAGGCTGTCCGAGACATGCCAGCCCCATTTAAAGACTCAGTGCTGGGCCGCTGTGACTGCGCTTTTATTCAGATGAGCCTTGATGAAATTGTTTGCAGAGGTGTGATGGACAGTTGAGGTAATTATTCTGCTTGAGGTATGGTGATTAGGCATTGTGGTTGAGCACTCACACACTGTGTATTTTGTTGAGTTGTTTTGATGCGTGATGTGCCTCCTGCCAGCTAGGAAGAGATGTGCTAGACAGTCTATTCTCACATTGGCCTTGCTCGCTGCGACGGCTGCCATGCTGCCACTAACTATGGTCAATCAATGGATGGAGTTGGTTTGGTTCATTTTCCAACTTTTGGCAAACTTTTTTCTCAGTTTTCTCTCCCGGTCCGACTTTCTGAAGGACAAAGAAGTCATCATTTTCCTCATGATACTGCCCACCTTTTTCTCTTGCTCCCTGTCCTTCATTCATTTGCATGATTTTTTTTTTATTGTCTTGCCTTGGTATTTTTGTTTCATGTTTACCTCTTTGCAACCTTGTGGAAGCAAGAAGAAGCTCATTCATGATGAAAGACGTGACGAACGCAGACAGCTTTTCAGCAGAGCTTTGGTTGGGGATTAAAAATAATTAAAAACTCTAAGGCCTAACCTCTTAAATGCCTTGGCTTGGTTCAACACAGACAGCGGTATAGAAAGAGTATTGAGCATACGAGTTCATAGCTGAAGGCTTTCCTCCAGGAGGGAAGTGTTTTACATAGATTACATAGAGGCTGTGTAGCAGGCTCCAGGTCCTGCAATCTGTCAGAGACAATAATCAGTATATTATAACATGGCTTTAACTTTAAGATATTCCTCAAAACAATGAGTCATAGTGTCCCGGTTGGAAAGAAGTACAAAACCTGAGCAATACAAATCTCAGCATTTCCTATATTTGCACAATCAGGTCAGGTGTTTACCTATTATTCCGACTCACAGCATTGTGAGCAGATAAAACTGCAGCTGCAGACTTTTTGTGAGATAGCAATTTGACTATTAAGCAAAGCCTCATGCAAGTTCAGATGTACAGTGGTCTGTCTCCTATCAATTTGCATATTTGAGGCATTCCAGTGATTTACAGCACCAAAGCAATTAAACTAAAGGATGTCTTGAGGGTCCCCACCTGGTTTGAACCCAAACAACCCTTTGATCTGTGTTAAGTGGCTGCATTCATATTGCTAGACCTTATCTGAATAGAATTCAATTATTTTTGAATTCATGCAGCATCACCAAAAGAGTTGGGGGAGCAGGAGGAATCACTGCAGGATCGTGGAGTAGTTGGGCTACATGTGGATCACTCAGGATGCGTGAGTGTCGTAACACTGCCCCCTCATGGTCATAACGGGAGGGAAGAATTTTTTTTGTTTTTTTTTTATAGTGCATCTATGTTGACTGTGTGTTTCTAACCTCACACACTCAGGGGTCAGCACCATTTTTCTTGTTTTACAGTAGTTGAATCTCTGCACCTGCAGGCAAACACAGAAGACGAGAGAGGGTTTTTCTTGGCTTTTGTTTTCGCCCTTCAGATGCCATCTGCCTTCGCCTTATGTGTTACTCATGTGAATCACATGCAAGGCAAGAATTACATCTTGTCCAATGAGGCGTGCCTGCAGCTTCCTCATCCATGTAAATGTGTTTTATGTTCCACAGGCTGCAAAAAAAAAAAAAAAAGAGAGAATGGCATTATACCTTGGGTGTCCATCTGCTATACGAGCAAATATTTAATCAAACATATGGCAGCAGTACAAGGAAATTCCATAAATTAAAATCATCCAGCACCTTGTAGATTAATCAAACCTTTAAATGTCAATAGATTAACAAGATTATCTTTTATGTCTCCTAATCAAGCAGACAGAGCCGCCGTGTTTTCTTGTGTTTTCTTGTGTTGCATCGTAAAAGTCCTCCTCCCCTGCTCCTCGCTTTTCCTTTTTTCTTTTTCTTTTTTTGTTACTACCATGTCATTTTTATTTTTGGAGCATTAAAATGGAGCACATGAACGCAGCACTGCTGACAACTTTTTCCACACAGAGACATTGAATTGTTCTCAGAGTATCCAGATAAACGAGAGAGTTATGGCTCCCACGTGTCTCTTCAACATTTTTTATCGCCTTCTGAAATGAAATGGGAGCACCGCTCATCTCGTGCTACCGTTTATGGTTGTGTTTTGTGACTTGAGCTGCAAGATGCTGACGCTTTTGACGACAGGGAATATTGGGATTACAAAATTTAGTGTTTTTTTTTCTTTCAACAAAAAAAAAAAGAAAAGTGGACAACAACTGCTCCCAGATAGCACAGTTCATTGTTTATTCCAACAGCGTAGTGTTGATAAGAAAAAGTGGGTTCTTATCAGTGTTACACTGTCAGAATAAACATTAAGTTTGATATCTGCAGTCTCTGTTTGAATAATTAATTGTTGCTCTCTAATCTACTGATTGGGCATGAGTGCCTTTCCTTTTTATTTTTACACAATCTGGATTTTATTTCAGCAGATGCAACCTCAGAGGCCGAGCCAAGAAAGCAAACCATCTGAAATCCAGCGCACCTACACATTCTATTATACGCCTTGGCGCCAGAACAGGGACTGTGTGTTTATTGCACATACTCTGTGACAACAAAGAGCGCAAGAGGCGAGCGTCTAAAGATGAGGGGGAACGACAGCCTCGAGTGAAGATGCTCTGAGTGGTCCTCGTGTCGTTGTTGATGTTGACTGTCGACACGCCGCTGTTCGTCTCCGTCTGTCTCGGCCCTGGGTTTTCATCGCCGTCTGGTTGCTGCACAATACCTGCAGCCTAAACAAGCCTTTCAAGTCAGGACTTTTGTTCCTTGCAGTGCAGGACAATCGCAACCTACAGGTTTTACACAAACTTCAGATTTTAAAAGCGGTGAAACTGTCACCCACGCTATCTATTGTAAACAAATATCTAGATCCAGTCACCCACACCAGCCTCCCTGCAACACAAATACCCAACCTCGTGACAAAAAGTTGATATCGGATGATAATGCCAAGGTGATGATGCCAACATTTCTTTCTAAAAAATGTCGACACATGGCAACTATGTGATGGTAAAGACAAAGGAAAGATCATGATTCATGAACTGTGGTTAATGTTTGGCAACTAAAAGACGTTATGTCGTTTTTGAAAAGCAAACATTAACTCTGAGTCCGATATGAATGTAAACGTTTATGGCATAATGGCATAAGGGATTACAAATGACATAATGTTTTCATATTTTCCGTATTAGCTTTTTCAGCTCTGCCTGGAATAAAACTCTCATGGGGGAAATACTTTCCGCTTTTTTTATTATCATTATTTTATTGGCCGAAAGTAGTCACATTTAAATTTATTGAGTCCAACCTATACAATGTCGATCAAGTGTCTTTTATTGTCGAATATAAACTCCACACAGGTCACTAAACCTCAGCCAAATTCCCTGGAAAAATACTCAGGAAGTGACAGTTTATAGCCCGACGTACAGGTCCGACTGTATTTATTTAATGTAGTTGTGTGTGCACATATTTTTCCTGTGCATTGAGGGATTATTGGCAGCTTTAGTTTCCCTCCAACTGAAGTTGTAGATAATCTGGCTCAACCGTTGGTTTGTTTTACAACTTGTCTGATCTTCCGACGGCTCGTTTCTTGGCATAAATTGGACGCATTCTCATATCTTAGCATCTGACAAGCAGGAGACAGTGTTGTGTGATTATACAAATCATGGTGAACGGTGCCAAAATCAAACCAGAGTACAAAGAAACTGGAATTATCCTTTAAGCCGATAAGGACGCTTAATCAAGCCAGAAGAGACCGTTCATCCGTTGTGCCAGCGCTGGTTTGGTTCTGGCTCATGAGATGCCGTTATGCTCAGTCAGTCAGTCAGGCAGTCAGTCAGTTGTTCAGAGGCCTAGTCATCCAGTCAGTTGTAGATTCACTGAAACAGTCAGCCAGTCAAGCAGTCAGCCAGTAGCTGTGAGAATAGTCCAGCCAAGAGGGCAGGCACTCAAATCCTGATGATTTCCAGATGAGAGCACAGACTGCTTGGCCTGAGACGAGAACACACACACACACATAGAAAAAAAAAAAAAAGAGTGTGAGGGAGGGAGGGAGGGAGCAGAAAAGATGAACACAGTGAATGAAGGAATGATCCTCCACATGAAACTATTGCACGTGTGAGATGCTGACACTCGACCGTCAGACTGTTTTCATCCACCTCTGCGATGTTCAATTCATGACTGTGACTGCGTCCCCCGGAGAGAGGCAGGGCTTCACGAGAAGGGGAGTGTGTGTTGAGCAGTGTGAGTGGACCTGTTGTGTGTGAGGATGGTCAACATGACGCAGGGGTGGGCTTTACTCGCCGTTGTTTACCTGTCCATCTACCTGGCAGCCACTCAGCATCACAGGAAAGGTAGGCGGACCTGAACTCATCTGCTCCATTAAGTCTCGATTTGCTTTCACACGCCACTGTGTCAACATTGTGTGAAAAGATGATTTTTATACTTAAAATATCTTCTTTCTTTTTTTTTCTTTTTTTGCATCCTCATTTAAAACATACAATCCAATTAGAAAAATGGAAGATAAACAATCATGACAGTTTAATCTTGGTGCTTCTGTGAAAGAATGTGTTTATCTTCCGGAGATATCGGGAACATTGCGACATAAAGGACATCAACGGATCATTTTCCAGTGAAAGGCCTGTTGTTACTGGATCCACTCACTGAGGAAATTCCTTTCTCAACACACTCGCATAGCTTCAATTTTTTTTTTTTTTTTTTTTTTTTTTTTTTTTTGATGAATCACATGACGGCTAAAACCTACGACAGGAGCAGGGCCACTGTCAGGATTTTAGAAACACTGAGGTGACTAATAATATCGAGGAGACTGAAAGTTAAAGTGTAAAATGTTCTATTAATCTAAACACTGTCTCCACATTCAATTAATATTTAGTGTTCTATTGGTATGTCCCATATTTCTACTACAAACTTCCATAAAGCAGTGGAACAAGCTATAAATAGATCTCATCTTAAAACATACATCATTAGCATTCATTAGCAACATTAGCATCCTTATGGAGTCATGTTTCTGGCCAAATGATGGATTTAAGTCCAGCATTCCCCCTAACTGCTAGTATCAAATATATCTCTTTAGCTGCTAAATGCTCGTGGTAGTGTGTGGTGCGTTTATGGATCTGCCTGCTGCAGCTGGACTCCGGGATTGACGAGAGCAGTGAGTTCCAAAACAGTTAAAAGCTGCAGGTAATAAAACCAAAACAAGTAGCTGGAGGATGCTAGAAAGCATCATAGAGCTGAGGGGAGCTGCTGAGTTAAGTAATAATTCTCTGGGTCATCACATGTATTTGTTTGACTCAGTGTTTATATAAAAATATCAGTTAGTGCAGCTTTAATTTTTTTTTTATTATTTGGTCCTTTTGACACCAGTGTAAAGGCACTGTTTCTGTTTTTATTAGACTGTAGAAAGTCCCATTATATTTAAAATTTCCTCTTCTTCTAAACTTCCAGTACAATGGAAAATTCTAATATATATAAGAACATATAATATACTGTATATAAATCAACATCCTGGTCATTTAATGAGCATGGCAGAGTATACAACTGAAAAATGATATGATGTCTCCATACCTTTAAAGCAGTGTTGCACTCCAACTATAAACCATTGAAAACTTCATGTCAAGGTAACTGCCAGGGTCTGATAATCAGAAATAGTCACTTTGTGGTAGAAGGTGAAGCTCATGCAAAACTCACTGCTCCTCCTCTAGTCACTGTAAAAAATACTCCCTGGAGGGCGACTGGGGACCCATAAAAATTACATTCACTGCATGTGACCTTTCTCCAACATCTCCAGTTATCACCAGTGTCCCCAGTATTCCAGTATCCACAGTATCAAACCCTATCTCATCTTCCCCTGGCAATGCCAAGTACCTTTTATTACAGCTTAGCCGCTCATAGATTGGGCTCGCAGTGGGAGCGGCGATGGCGAGCTCTGTGTTTACATGGTAAATAGTGGATTTTGTATCTGAGTTGCGAGAATATCGTCGTTTGTTTGGATTTTGAAAATGATTTTGGAGGCAAATTGAAATGCTAAGCAGCAGTGTGGCCATTGCGGCGAAGATTTTATTCTCTCCTGTGTCCTTTTCGACCCTTTCTGCCATTCGCCGGAGGGATCTGGACGTCCTTTTTGCTTTTTGTTTTATTTTTGTTTGCCCCCCCCCTCCCCCCCTTCTCTCTCCCTCTCTCTGTCTCTCATCAAGACATCCCTCCAGCCAGGAGTACCATTTACCCCTCCTAATTAATGGATCTTTGTTGTTCCCTCATCTCCTTGCAAGCAGTTAGCGGGAGATTACAAGTTCCCTGCCTGTGCATAATGACACGGGGGGGAAGCCTGCACTGATTGTTTGGAGCATGGGAGGAGGGAGGGGAAACAAGACGGATGAACAGGCTTTGAGCGAGCAGCGGGGAGAGCTGAGATGTTGTGAAGAGGAACGTCTATATTAAATATTCAAACTGAAAATAAGAAAAAAGACCAATCAGATGAAAAATATTAATTGACTGTTTGTCTCCCTGCATTAACATGTTAAAACTTTAATATGCAATACTTACAAATCCCCTTTTACTCTGCACATGGGAATACGTTGCAGGGACATTTGATGAGGATTTAATTTCATGCTACGACACCAACACTTCTTAGAGTTAAATAATGTTTTAATGTTCCTCATATTTCAAGAGCTGATCCTCGGAAGCAGAAAAACATAATGGTGAAAGATAGAGGACGTATGCTGGGGACTGTCTCAGTCTACCTAGCTAATGCTGCATTCATGTCATATCAGGGTTACCATTACTCCCACTTTCCAACTTGTAAAAAGGGGTCGCGTCAGCATCCAAGTGGTAAAGGAATGATGAAAACGGATATATCGAATGCAGCTAAAGATATCTGGAAGTGTCTGCAAATCAAACAAACACGGACGCCTCATGTAAGCCGAATGCTGTGTCTCAAAATCGGATACTTCGGTCAGTGCACTCAATCGTAGCACACCGTGCACACAGTACACTCACTGGCGCGGTGCGTGAATTTCAACAGGATACTACGTCGTGCACGCTCACTGGAAATGACGATTGCAACAGGTGCTAACTTAAAAATTTTTTCCTATTTTCCTCTGCTCCAACGGTGTGTCCTCCTTATATGGTCGCCGTTTTCACTAGTATTAAAAATATATTGGTCTTCCCTCCCCTTCCGGTGCGTAGCCAAGATGGCGTCTGTTGAGGGTGAGAGGTGTCCATCATTTTACACTTCATTTTTTGGACCATTTTGAGGGCACCATCCGGGTACTTATAGTGCACTGCAGTTTGCCAGTTTGTCAATGTGAACACACTCATGCACTCGGAATAGCAAGTGAGAGCGTGGAAGTGCGCAAAATTCAAAGTGATTAAACCAACATGTAAAGGGTGCAGTGTCACAGGACCAGTTATAAAATGGTCTTGAACATTTCCCATCTCCACCATCTGTCCCACATGAACGTTTGACATCTGTTCTCTACTGGCTGTGTCAGAAACCTGGCCCAAGTTTGCCAATAAAACACAGTGCGTTTTAGATTCAGATTCAGATTTATTCGTCATTCTGGCCGCATACATAACGCGCACAGAGCCAAATGAAAAGACATCTCTCACGGGACAATGCTGCGAAACCAACCTGACATTAAAAAATATATTTACCATAAACAAGTTCAAATATCCTGTTGACCAAGGTTAAAGACTGCATTAAAAAATACGCCCAGATGCAGCATCCATGGCCTGTAAAGTGTCTCCAGTTGTGGTCTGTGCATTCAACTTTACATTATTTCTTTGAGATGAGTATTCAGCTGCTTAACAGCCTGGGAAAAAGCTATTACACATCCTGGAGGTGTTGACTTTGATGCTCTTACATCGCCTCCCGAACGACCGGGGGGGGGGGGGGGGGGGGGGAGGCAAACAATCCGTGGGCAGGGTGAGAAGAGTTCCTTTGATGATTCTCTCTGCTGTCCTCACACATCTTTTCCAGGGTCTCGCGACCGGCTGCATTACAGCTCCCGCACCAGATGACGCTGCAAGCTGCTCAGGACACGTTCAGCTGTGCCCCGGTAGATTGTAGTGAGGATGACGGGTGGTGAACCTTGCTTGCCTCAGCTTTCTTAGGAAATACAGCACAGACTTTAAGTATTCAGACAGTTACACATTTTTTGTTCTTCTGGCTCTGCACTTCAGCACATTCAATTTGAAGTAAAGTGCCAAGTCTGGGCTTTAATTTGAGTAGGTTTACATCAGTGTGGAGGGAAATGAGGGACTGAGATATAACCCTTTTAACACACAGTGCTCAAACTGCAAGGGTATAAATAATTGGACACTTGGCTGCCGAACGTTTCTTGAGCAGCTGGGTGTCGTTTTCAATGTTAGTTCACGCACAAAATAGCTCACATGTGGCTTAGCGCTGACGACTGAGGTGGAGTTGATGCAAGAGAAGAAGATACTAATGAGGCTTAAAAAAAAAGAAGCAAAACCCATATCTATCGGTGATATCAAAAGGTAGCTGGTTTGCCGAAATCAACAGTTGGATACATTGTGAGAAGGCGAATGAGTGAACTTAAAAACGTCAAACTGTTTTACGACTGCACAGCAAGTCAAGAATGCTCTCCAGGATGTAGGAGTGCTTGTTTTCTTGTCGACGATCAAGAGAAGACTAAATGACCAGCGTGCAAACCACTGGTGAGCCTCAACCACAACAAAAAGAGGTCCAGGCTGCAGTTTCACAAAAAAGAAACCAGTACAGTTCTGGAATAAAGTTCTGTGGACTGACGAAACAAAAATCAACATCTGTCAAAATGATGGAAAGAGGAAAGTGAGGGGGAAAAAAAAGAAAACAACTCATGACCCAAAGCCACCACCTCATCCGTCAAACATTTCCGTTGTGGCCCGGGCATGTATGGCTGCCGATGGGACTGGCACACTGGCTTTTGTTGATGATTTCCCCCGCTGACGGAAGCAACAGGAGCGCTCCGTGTGTTCAGATTCAGCCAAACGCATCCAAAACTCATCAGGTGACATTTTAACATTCAGCCAAATGGGTTTTCTGGGGTCAAGGGGTGGTCTACCGCTGACTGACCGAGTCAGTCACCCAGTCTCAATCCGACCGAGCTGCAGTCCACTGGCTGAAGGCAGAGAGACTGAAGGCAGAGAGACCTCGCAGCGAGCGAGAGCTGACGGTGGTGACTGCAGCGAAGTCCTGGGAGAGCATCACCAGGGAACATACAAAGCAACTGGTGATGTCTGTGGGTTGAGGACCTCAGGCAGTCATTGGCTATAAAAGGATTTACCATTTAACTTCATGTGTATCTGTCCAATTACTTTTGGACCCTTAGGTTTTGTGCATTATGTGTTAAAAGGGTCCATACCTCCTACACAGTCCTTTCTTCATTCATGTAAACCTACTCAAATTGAAGCTGAGACTTGGCACTTTAATGTAGTATCCACTGTTTTATTTCAAATTGAATGTTGCTGAAGCCTGAAGAGCAAAATATGTGTAGCTGTAGCTGTACGTCCTCTGCAGAGCTCTCAAAGTCAAAGACCAGGAGAGGGATCCGATGTTGCTCACGCTGCCGATGGTGGAGCTGTTCATATGTATTAAAGAGCGATTAGCCCGCCCCCTCCTCACTTTTAGCTCCTTTAGCGAGCAGAGAAAGTATGTGTGAAATCTCAGTTTACTGCTCATTATAGAGTAAACTAGTGAGTGTCCATTATGAGGGGGGGGGGGGGCACGTGAACAAAGGAGTGGTTTCAGACACAGCTGCTAATTTTCTCGTCTTTCCAGAGCCTGCTTTTGCCTCCCTTGCCCTATCATTGGCTCTTCTAACTCTGACCTCCACGCCCATCTGTGCACCTGTTTCCAATCCCTTCATCAACCCCTCGCTTTATATATATATACCTGCCTCTTTCTCCTCAGTTCCCTGTGAGATTGTTTGTTGTGCGACTCAGCCTTACCAGCTCGATCGCTTTGTTCCTGCCAAGCCTGTTGCAGAACTGTAGTAAACTTTGCTTTCAGCTTACCTGCTCTGCCTCTTAGACATGCATTTGAATCCTCTATAAATGTGCAAGATCCTTCGCAAAGCAGCCGAGCTTTACGAAGGTTAAAAGACAGCATTCCTGCTCCAACCCTATTCCAAACTGCTGCTGCTGCAGTTAGAAACATAAAACAGGCACTTTCCTGCGTGCCAAAGAGCTATTGTGTTACAGCAAACAATGACAGAGAGTGGTGGAAAACGGATTATTAATTTTATATGTAGACCAGCACTGGCTTGGCATCCGAGCTGTCATCTTTCTGCAGCTCCTCTATCCTTTTTAAACAGCATAATCCTTGTTCTAATGAGCACACTACCTTCCCTCAGGTGTGGTTTTGTTTACGCTGAGGACGCCCCACTGAAGCCGTACTCTGTAAATCCTAACTCGCTCACTCAACTTTAAAGTTTATTGGAAACGGCTTGCACACAAAACCTTAACTTAATACAGCAGAGTAACATTGAAGTTATGGGCGCATCTCACTGAAGAATGTATCACATGACCCTTGTCTGACTGGAAATTTATGTCAGTTCAAAACTTTCAAGAAGTTGTGCCGAGTACTGAGCTGCCAGGTTGACTGATCCCAGGGTCAGTGGTAATGAGCTTGTGAAGTGATGTTCACAAATAACTTCATGGTTGTAAATCTGTTTGTAATCCAGTGAAATAAATCTGCATGACAAAAATCAAATGTGTGCATGTGTAGAAAAGATTTATTTGTTCACAGAAATAAGAGACTATTGATTCACACTGTCTCTTATTTAGAAAAACAGAAACAAAAATAGTATTAAGTAACACTGCGACACTGCCGGACTTACCTCCAGGACAGGGCAGTTGATTTCTTCGTGCGAACAGGATATAAAAGCCTGGGTGAAGTTTCCGGCTCTGCTGAGGTCCAGGTTGTTTGGAGACCCTGAGCATTTGAGTAAAGATGGCGGTGCCCAGGCTCGGGGGGTTATTTGACGTGGGGTTGTGAGAGGTCGGTATGTATGTGCTCCCAGTTTAAAGAAGCCGAATGATCTTGCTGCTGTCGACGGGGGCCACCCTCAAAAAATGTGTTTTAGCCACTTTAAAAAATGCCCGCAGAAAAACCCAATAACAGTTAAAGTGGACACTTTATTCCCCCATGTCACGCAGTGTTTGTGCGTAGGAATACGCTCGTTCAAACGGTCGACAAAATGTAGTTCCAAAGGACTAGGGCTGTTTTTGAAACCGCAAGAAAACTATTCACACTCCACGAAAGTGACGGTGTTAAACTACCACTTTAACATCACCTTGTGTTTCTTTTTCGGCACCACATTGGTATATTCTACATTTTCACCATCTAACTCACCAACCGTTCACTCACTTGGGGAGGGGCTGCGTTACACACATGCATCACTGTTGCCAGTTTTGGATCAATTAAATGTGATGATCCTTGTTTGTCGCCGCGGGGGACGGTGGACTCCTGACCTCAGTGTTTTCCAAAAAAAAATAAAAAAATCCTGGCTGTGGCCCCGCTCGGAGGGGGCCGGGTTGATGAGGTGAAAGGTTTGAGATAATATGCAGAGGATTACACAGATGTACCAAATTAGTTGGCTTCATTATTGTAACACAGGAACACTGAGCCGCAGATTTTCTTTACATCCTGAATTGCGGCTGGACTGCGAGAGCGAAGCCGGGCAGCTGAGACTGGCAGTCGCCCAAGCAGGAGGCAGGTACATGGGGGAGATCAGCCAGTGCATGTGGCTTTGGCTGGCCTCTCAAACGCTATAAAGCTAAAATGTATCTGGCCGGTGAGGCTGTGGGCAGCGGGGCTGATCATTTGGCGAGGCAGTGCTCCGTAGATGCCGCTGTAGGATAGAGGGAGGATTGGATCCAAATTCAGATGAAGCCCAGTGTTTATACTATATACCTCATTAAGATCTGTGTGTGTGTGTGTGTGTGTGTGAGAGAGATCTGTGTGTGTCGAGCCAAGCACTGGATGGTAACAGAATATGTGAAGCAGTGGAAAAAGGGAGCGAGATGTCTGGAGAAGCTCAGAGGAAGTTTTACCTTACTCCATTATGCTGTGAATCCCCTCTCCAGCTCTAATCAAATTTGCTTTTCACTTCACTCTCCTGAAGCGGTGCCACCAAATTGTTCTTGGAGTCTCAGACAACAGAGGAAATCATCATAATGTTTATACTTAAAAGAGTCTGGGCAGCAGTAGCAGTATGACAGGGGGAAATGTGGATGGGGTTACTCTGCATCCTTGTGTGACCCTCCCCTTTTCTTTCCTTTTAGCCATGTTTTACACTTGACCTCCAGAAGATTTTCCGTTACCAGTGTGAATATCTGCTCACTATCATGCAGAGCTGTTATGGAAAAATGAGAACGCATGGTGTTGTTAGATCCAGGCTAAGGTTCATAAATCATTCCTTTGACACAGCTTTGTCCCTCCGATTTCATTTCCAATTTAGCCTTTATCTTCCTTTTGCATTTCTAAGCCTGTGTACTAAAACATAAGTTAAAGCTACGATTTGTTTTTTTACCTGCTTCTTGTCTGAAGAAATTCTCACTTTCTTCTTTGTTTGAAGTGTTGTTTACAGGGTTTTCTGTAGTTCCTCATGCACTGAACGTACAGAATTTCAATGAGTTTAAGGGAACGTGCCGCTGGATTCAAGGCATCTGGTGGATGATCCTTTAAGTAAAAAGTCCTTGGGTGAAACTAAACTATACATTAAAGCTGCGCTAAACTTTTTTTTTTTTTTTAATTAACACTGGTTCAAATGACGAATATATAACATACTGATGAACCCACAGAGAATTAAAACCCAAGTCTGCAGTTCCGTTTCTAATCTACGGAGCGTTTTTAGTGTCTTTAAGCTAATTGTTTTGGTTTTTATGGCCCGTGCATCGGTTTACTCTCGCTGCTTTAATGAACCTCATTTCCAGACGCAGCGGGCAGATGTTCGCAGGAAGAAATCAGGAGTTGTTGGAGCGCACACCAGAGCTAATGGAAGAGTGAACATTGGACTTAGGTCACCAGAAACATGATTCCAAATGAATGCTAATGTTGCTACGTTTGTGTGTGTGTGTGTGTGTGTGTGTGTGTGTGTGTAGTAACTGCTTGCTAACACATTCACCACAACAACTTTATATGGAAATAATATGTCAGTGTTGTGTTTACAGCCCCCAAAAGAACAGTTAATGCAGCTTTAAAGGTTCAGCTACTAGAGAAGTGCACTGATTTTCTTTCCTCTGAAATGGAAAAAAATTAAGATTAGATACAAAAAAAAAAACCAACAATACACTAAACTGCCACAAGCTTAAAATTGTACTTTAGCACAGTATTTGAATAAATGTACTTAGTTACTTTCCACCTCTGGATAAGAGGCGTGTGACCATGTGGAATTGCCTCTGCTTATCACCTCCAGTAAAATATGAATTTCATGGTGTTTTTTTTTATCATAGAGATGAGGAAGCAGAGAGCGAGGGGTCTCATTCCCTATCTGGACACCTCTGATTAAGGGGTCCTGCTACACATTGGAACTTGCTTCTGGTATCTCTGGGTATCTCACCTCTGGATGCACCAGCCACTGCCACTTGTAAATATAGGAGCATCTGCGGCTCAGGTCGAAGACCAATTACCCTCTGCACAGCTGGAGCCAGATCCTCTCCCACCTCCACAATATTTCAGCAGTAATGAATCTGTGTTTACTTAACCTCTGGCCCACCCACACATCCAAGCCGCGTCGGATAATGTGGTGCCTAATTTCTGGAAGAGCAGGGGGATCCTCTAATCCGATTTCCTCTTCTCATGTGTTCTAGCGCTGTATCCATCTGCGTATAGAATAAAGCGTGGGACGTATTTGCTGATCAACCCCACGTTCCAGCGCTCGGTGGAGGACGTCAAGCTGCTTTTTGAGGTCAGTTTAGATCCTGTGGGTTGAGCGGAGTTCAAATGGTTCATGACAAAGTTCTCTACTGGAAACCAATTTAAATATGCTGGGAATGCTGGGAATGTGCTTAGAAACTGTCCAAATCACACAGTTTTGGTTCATATTGAACTGCTGAAAGTTCCTGGATAAAAAGGAAAATAGAGTTTAAAACACTGTCCCTGTTAATCATTAGCAGAAATATGTGTTTACCAAAGTGCTTGCTGACAGTGAAGAAGGCAACATTTATTAATATCTTATGATTCATGGGGTGAAGTAAATAGTTATTTGGTATTTCGTGTGTGTGTATATACGTGTGTGTGTGTATATATATAGATAGATAGATAGATAGATGGTGTTTTGGTGTTTCTGTCTCTCAGATCCTGCTGGCTGGGATGCAGATAGAAGGTGAACAACACTCCATGCTGATCCCAGATGAGGAGCTTGCCTCCCTGAGGAGCGTGGAGAAGCTGGAGGTCATCTGCGAGGACGTCCTGCCCAAGAGTCTCTCCGACATCCGCCGTCTGACGGCGGGGCTCGCCCGGCGCCAGCAGCCTCTGAGCTGGCAGGACTTCGAGAGGACGGTGCTGACGCTGGTGTACACTGCTCAGACTCTGGCTCGACTCAGCAGCCAGCAGCAGAGAGAGGCGTGGACGGACGCGGTGATCCAGCTGTTCAGGGCCGTTCAGAAGGATCTCAGGCCCTCTTGAGGAACAATCAGATGTCATTTTTAAAAAGAAATATATGTATATTATGTGCAATTATCCAATTAGCCCTTTTTAATGCATAGTCTATATACAGAATGTGCTGTAACACTAGGTGCTACATTATACTGCTTTTGGTATACAAGAAATGAATGAAGTTTAAACCATGAGCTCTGCAAAAGCTAGTGACTTAAGATTTTCATGCACAAGAAAACTACATGCTTTACTGTTTTGAACTAACAGGAAATGATGCAGCATATGAACTGGAATGCCACTTCAGAATAAACTTCCAAAGCTTTAATCCCTTTTTTTTAATTTGTTTTCTGCAATCAACTTGAAATTCCCCTTTTTTTTCAGCACCTGCTCCATTTCCTGTGTCTATTTTTAAACCTACAGCAGATCTACATGCTTCCACTAATTTGATTGAATTGCCTTATTAATTGTACAGCTCCTCTTGGCTCCTTAAGGTGGGTTTGTTTTTCACTTTTATCTGATTGTAACTGTAACGCTGCGTGTTTGATCCCACTCATTTGTTTCAGCGTGTGGAAATTAGATAAAAAAAACCAACAAAGTATCTGAGCTCCACTGAGCCACGTATTTTGTGCCATAGCTTCATTAATCAAGTGTGTCCCTTTGTGTTCTAATAAACTTCCACATGCTTGCAGTCTTACACAAGCAGGCACTTAACGCTGCAAGTGTAGTTTAGTTTGCATGCTGACTTTTGTAACTACACTGATCTTTGACCTACTTTTTTTAAAAAAGGAAAAATATGCAAAATCAAACCATAAACAGCACATCAGGTTGCCAGCTCCACCCCCCCTGCGCTGTGCTGTGCTGTGCTGTGTTTGATGTCATCATGTACCTTTAGGCATTAAATGCTTTGCTCTGCTTAGAAAGAAATTTGCTCAGCTCATTTAAAGCCCTTTGAATGAAAACCATAGATTCGTACTTGAGAGTCTGTGTACATCAATACGTCTGATTGCTCAATTGAGTAAACTGTGAAATGTTTGATAGGTGTTTGCTTCACAGCCACCCAGTTCCCCACTCATGTTGGGAAATGGGTACTTGCCGTAATAGGCTTTCAAGCAGTTCACTTATCTTGGAGGAGGTAGAAAGTATATATCTGGTTTGTGTTGTTTTCCCTCCTTAAGTCAATTGGTTTCACATTTGTTCAGTATTTTTTGGTCCAATTCCATCTTTGTTGCTCACATCCAGTTTTGGAAAGGCTTGATCTCCCAGTGTTTGTCATTTCTAGCTACCCCATGCATATCCCCCCTCACAGCATTTAATTCCTTAAAATATACATGATGATCACAGTATTTTTTTTTTTTTTTTGCTGGATTTTCAGTTTTCAGCACGTCAGCGTTCATCCGATGCCGGAGCTACTGGCGCTGACTCAGGAGGACTGATTGATGAGGAGGTGAGGACTTGTGGTGCAGGAATTTCCTTCCAAGACAGAGGAGGATAAGCCTTCGCTCCGTGCGCCGCTCTAACGATGATGATGATGAGTTTTGGGATGTTTCTGGCCACTACTTGCCAGAGCGTAAAGAGGCCGAGATATTGAAGAAAACTGTGCAACTCAGGATTTTATTCCTGGTATTGAGTGTGACAGCACTGAGTTTCATTATAGTACTCCCACGCTTAAAAGCTCTGGGTTCCATGTATTACATTCTCAAATTGTGATGCCTCCTTAGTTTTGGATGGTATTGTTATTTACTTGTAGTGTGAAACTCAAGAAATGTTCTCAAATCCTTGCATGAAAATACATTTCCACATAGTTGTTTGACTTGCTTCAAGATGCAGTTGCAGATGAGTGTCTTTGCAGGGTGAGTTGTCCATCAATAATTAGGGAAATCTTGTGAATATTTCCCAAACCAGTCATTTCATTTTTCTTTATGCTTATAGTCAATTTGCAAAATATTAGTGTCGTTTTTTGAAGTTTTTTTTTTTTTTTTAAATGACTCACTAATTGAGTTGCACTGCTTCTCCTTTATCTCCATCTCCTGCTCTGTGGTCGTGGTGCAAGATTTAATATGAAAAAATGGGGCTTGAACCTGGGCTGTTGACTTATCAGTGTCCTTCATGAAAGATGAGTCTCTAATATTTTATCCATTTAGTGCATTGTCCCTAAATGTCATGTAATAACCCCTCAGCAGCATAAAGCACGTTGAGAGAGCAGCACCAAGTGGCTGCAGACAGAACTGCTGTGTCAGGGTTCTCCATCTGGACGTTCACGTCCTTAAAACCTGTGCAACTTCATCACCTAATATCATCTTTTTACAATAATTAATTAACTGTAATAACTGCATCATCTCCAGATCAGGAAATAATATCATGTGGTGCAATATAACCTGTCCTAACAAATAGATGAAGAGGTCAATTAAGTGACAATTGATACTGACTTTCAATGAAAATGATCAGTTTATCCCACAAGGCAAGCTGATCATGAAAAATGCATGCATGCATTAATTTTCATATCAAACAGTAGAGGTATTTCATAATAAATAATTTGCCAGTGTAAATACAGGAAGCAAATAATACATATAAATTGTAGCAGCTGTTGTTATACATCCAGCCATATGGGCTTTTAGAAAATGAAAGCCTCTGAATTATTTTATAACGAACAATAAAACATAAAATGGACTTCAATTTCATTCTTATCTTAGTAACATAACAAAGTTTTTCCTCTACAGGGAGAATATTAAACCTGCCTGTGTCCTGTAATCTACCTGAGTTGTTTCTACTATCTGTGTTTTTATGAATCAATATATTTGTAATTTATCTTTGCACCAATCTCAACTTGTTTTAAACTTGTAAATATCATAGATTATCAGCTCAACATGCTCACTAGGTGGCAGCATTTCCAAACCCGACTCTCTGTTGGCTCCTCAGTCATGGTATGAGTCATGGTTTGTTATGGGTTTGAGCAGATAATGTGAAGAATAATGTCTCCAAAGGGACTTAAAGTAACAGTACAGCATGTAATCATAATAATCTGAGTCCACGTTGTGCATATGTGCGTGCTGTAAAACTTCATTAAGAGCTCTTGAACTCATTACAATATATTTGTTATGCTGACACGAAGAAGAGCAACAACGTGGCATTTGATTCCTTTTTTTCCTTCTCATTTCTGGGCTGTGTTTGTTTTTGAGGTGGTTTAATTGGAGCTGAATCCCGTCAACGCTGGAATGTGTCTCTCCTGGTGGAAATATTTCATGATGACCTCTAGCTGAACACCCAGTTGTTTTAACTGGAGCTTATCAGCTGCATATGCTTTTTTTCCCCCCACAGCTGTCAGACATCTTTTCAGGCTTCAAATCCCTCTCCACTGTCAGAAAGGGACGGATGAGACATCACAATGTGTCACGTATATACACGCTGTCTCTGCAGCAAATTAAACAACTCAATACCTTAACCATGTGGTTTATAATGGGCTGCACGGCAACCTGCCATAATGGATTTTTCCTCTGTGTTTCTGTCAGACAACTTGCAGTATAACTTGGCGCGTTCCCCGCGGATATTATGAGAAAATATTCAGGATCTCAATCTCGGGCATCAAACACAGCAGCCACACCATTAAAAACATTCCTCTGGCGAAAATCAGCAACAGCCCATACATGGCAGACTCTCTTCCTTTGAAGATCCTCTGACACGAAGTGTTCGTGCGGAAAAATGTAGCTTTTATACGGAAACAAGGCCTTTTTTTTATTAGGGCAAATCACTGTCATTACAAGTAGGAATGAAACACAGAATGAAGGCTGTGACTCAAGAACTCCAGATGTAAGATCTGCAGTTTGGGAGGTGATTTATGAGGCTGCAGCCGCAAACAGGGTGAGGTCAGCATGTTACCCGTCAGTCAGTGTCATACCAGTGTCTTGAATGGGTGATTTTGCAGTTTTCTTGCATTGCTAACAGCAGTGGACTCGGGATTTAAATAATATTATCTTAAGGTTATGGATTTTGCATTATAGCAGTTCATCAGTTGAAACCACAACTCTAGAAACAAGTTATGGTCATTCTTGCAGCCCTGTTATTCTAATGTGGCTAATGTGGCGTGTATAATAGTAGCTGAGCCTAGCAGAGAGATGCTGCCAGCAGTGGGGATGGATGGATGGACAGAGGTGGGATGGGTTGTGAGGGAGTGGAATATCTCGCTGTGTCAGAGAGCCAATTACACAGTGCAGCCTGCTCAAAACAGCCTCCCGCTCTCTCCGGCCTCCAGGAATCAACACAGTATTTCACCAAAATATCACAACAGCTGGGAGACTGGGTCGGGGTGAATCCCAAAAGCAAGTATGAAAAAGAAGAAAACAGTCTTGTGTGGACTGTTTTTGTCCTGCTACATCTGGAATCAGGATTCCAATTGCCAATGTTTTTTGTCAATATCTTGTTTATTTATCTCATTCAAATCAATTCTCACAATAATTCCAGGTCTGAGATACTTTTCAAGCTTTCCCACCACATGAATTTGTTGGGAATAACTGAGTTTTTGATAAGCCGATGGGAGAAAGTTGGCAGGCTGTAGGATGCAGGATAATGCCCTCGTACCCTCCCTAATGCTTATCGGACATTGTCATGAGGAGGTGCAGGATTCACATGGGAGTTGTGGTATGCTGTGTTCCGGCGCAGCTCCTGGGGTCTGTAATTTGATTTGGCTTGGTGCCGCCCAGCCACAGGTGGAGCGGCCTCCGGCGGTCCATGAGAGCCTGATAATGACCGTGTATGAGTGATTGATAACGCTGCTGTGTGTGGACGATGTCCTCGGTGAGATTATGTCAGTGTCTTATCTCACAGACTCTCTGAAGATCTTTGTTCATTTAGAGCACATAATCATTCAATCAGTCAACATGAGGATGATTTTAAAACTGCACTTATCAGTATTTTCATTTATTTTCATTGACAATGGGTTAAATGACACGTGTGTAATATGAAAGTGGTAATTCATAGTGAAAAAACCCACAGAGAGTTTACATTAAATTCTGCAGTTGCCTCAGCTCTTTGTAGCCTTTTGGCCCCTTTTAGCTCATTATTTTGTTCTCATGTCCCGCAACTTTACTGTTTTGGTGTTTTTGAAAATATACGTGTATGTATAAATGTACAGAAGCCGAGTAAAGCCATACTCGCAACTGTTTTGCAAATATTTATCTGTTATCTTGAGAAAATAAAGCTCTGTTATCTTGAGATGATGTGATAAAAAAATAAGGCCTTTGTCAAGCTGTTGGCTAACATTATTAAGAGGTAATATGTCAATAATGTGCTCATAGTAAAATCAGTTCATACT